TATCCTCCACCCCACCATCTTCAGAGAGAGGAGCTGGTGTGTATGGAAGGAGACTAGAGCCCACCTCTCTCAGCTGTGTCCTGTGTGTGCAGTTCTGATGATCTGACCTCTACCTATGCAGATGACACAGACGCTAGTTTGGTCTGTTGCTATGACCACACTTAGATAATAACCTTAAAACTGGAAGAACTGTGACTGAGAATTAATTTTTAAAATAAAATGTTAAGTACGTATGAGCTTGGAAATGAGAATCAAGAGTAGAGTCCCAGATTCCCCTGAGTCAGGTCAATGAATCTTCAGTGTATGTTGAGTACCATTTCTCTTTTGCCTCCAGACTCTGCATCATGAATACTCTGTCTGAAGCAAATGGCAACTTTGCCATCTACCTTTTAAAGATGCTCTGTGAAAACAACCCTTCAAAAAATGTATGTTATTCTCCCATGAGCATCTCCTCTGCTCTGGCTATGGTCCTCTTAGGGGCAAAGGGAGACACTGCAGTCCAGATGTCTCAGGTAAGCTGTGTGTCATCCCACACCTGTTTCACTTGCCAAAAGTTGCTGAGAAGGGAGGGTAGGAATGGGATCATACTGTTTCATTGGTCATGGCATAAAGAAAAAAGAGCCAGTCTACTCCAGTAAGATTTACTTTTTAAAAAAATAATTTCCTTTTAATTTATGTACACTGGTATTTTGCCCACATATATGTCTCTACAGGATGTGAATGCCTCTGGAACAGGAGTTATAGCAGTTTAGAGCTGCGCTATGGGCAGTGAATTAAACCCAGGTCCTCTGGAAATGCAGCCAGTGCTTTTAACTGCTGAGCCATCTCTTTACCCTGACCCACCAATTAAGACTTCTTTCAGGGCAATGAGCTTTCCAGACTAATACCTTGGAAGAACTCTCAAAATTGTGTCCAGACTTACCTAGAAAATGGTGCACAGATAGATTCATGCTAGCCATGTGGCACAGGGCTTTAATTCCAGCTACTAAGGTGAGTGAGGAAGGAGGATCCCAAGTCCAAGGCTAGCTAAGGCAACTAAGTTTCTAATGAAAAGTTTTATCAAAGGTGGAGAGGAGGCATTGTGAGCATAACTCAGTGGTAGAGCTGGTAAACTCTTGCTTAGCATTTGTTTGGAGCTAGGGTCAGTCCCAAGTACTGCAATGGAAAAAAAAAAAAGATGTTGAAATTACTTGAAACATGGGTTGCTAAGATCTATATTATTTTTAGAGTAATAGACTTTATAATTATTTCTTAGCAATTAAGGCTAATTCCTGCTTTAAATTGTTTTAATACCAACCTGCTTCACATCAGAGCCTTTCTTACTTCACTACCTTCAGCTTGAAAATTATATTTACAACCACAACATCTCATTACTGAGCTTATAATATCTTATTCTTTTCCTTCACAGGCACTTGGCTTAAACACAGACAAAGACATTCATCAAGGCTTCCAAAGTCTGCTCAGTAACTTGAACAAGCCCAACAGAAAATACTTGCTTAGAATGGCCAACAGGCTCTTTGCAGAAAGCACTTGTGAATTCCTCCCAGTAAGTTATATCAATAGAATGATGTCAATTATATTCAAATACTTGTTCATATAGATCCCTATTGAAGGACTGTAGCTGAAGTTTTCCTGTGTCCCACCTGGCCCATGGTCAGGACAAATCTCTCACCCACTAGTCCCGCAGTCGCTTGGACCCAAGTAAACACACAGAGGCTTATATCAATTAAAACTGCTAGGCCATTAGCTCAGGCTAACTATTGACTAGTTCTTACTCTTAAATTAACCCATAACTTTTTATGTTTAGCCATGAGGCTTGGTAGCTTTTCTCAGTTCTACCTTCACATCTTGCTTCCTCTGTGTGTCTCTGGTGACTCCTGACTCATCCTTCCTGTTGCCAGAATTCTCCTCTCTGCTTATCCCGACTATACTATACTTCTTGCCTGGCTACAGCCCAATCAGCGTTTTATTTATTAACCAATCAGAGAAACCCATTAACAGCATACAGAGCGATATCCACAGCAAAGGACCCTAGAGAACCTGAGGAAATTAAGGATTAAGTTCTACAGCAAAGGACCCTAGAGAACCTGAGGAAATTAAGGATCAAGTTCTAGTCAGTGTGATTGTCCACATCTATAATACTTGATTTTAGAATACTGAGACAGGAGTCCATGAGTTCTAGGCCAGCCTAGGCTACATAGAGAGACTCAACTCCTGAACCTTGCCCAAAGACCGCAATTCTATAATGATACCTTGAAATATTCCAAGTCAGAAATATTATTATTATTATTTATTCATGTAATTTTTAATTTATTCATATCTACTTATCCCCATTTATAAAGGCCTAGGACAAAAAGATGTTTGTTCTTTAAAGTGATATTTACACTCATTTTAAGTTTGGTTGTATTTTATTTTTTTTAATGCCATAGTATTCAGA